ATTATTATTATTTATTTATTACTTGGGTTAATGTATAAACATATTATTGTGAAGTGCTCACATACTACTTTTGGCCTTCATAAACAATTGTTTTTACAAAAACAAATGTAAGGAGGCACATTGTAATTCTAAACTCAACTATGCATTTCAGATGCTGTCACATCCTACAGCCTCATCATCTGAGAAACTGCCTCTCAATCACACCAAAATACACATAATGATGGACTTACAGGCATCTTAGGGGATTGTGAAAATACAGTATTTCACTGGAACTTGGTCTTCATTACACTATTTTCTGTTTCTATTTTTATTTTACTTCTTTAAATATTTATGTTCAGTGTCAATTGTCATTTATGGTATTCTGCTAATAATGGTTGTTAGATCACTGTCATTTTTGCTACAATTTCACATGTCATTAAATAAAATAAAAGTACCTAATTGACACAGCATGCTGTTGTTGTTGTTGTTTTTATGAAAACCTTAATAGACGCTATAAGATATTATAAGACCAGGCAGATAGAGGGGTAACAAAACAATAGTAATAAACAATATATTCAAATAATATTAATAAAACTAATATTAATGATATAAATATACTATTATACTAATATTAATGAAAATAAACTATCATTAAAATGGTTATTTATAAGACCATTAAGGTTCTAAATAGCACTGTCAAAGCATGTTTCTTTATGGAACCTTATAAAAAGGTTTCTATTTAGCACCAAAATGGTTTCTACTATTGTTACAAGCTGAAGAATCCTTTTCTGGTACTGTTTAGAACCATTTTTCTTAAGAGTGCAGATGGTACATAAACCCGTCCCTCAGGACCTCCCGGCGGAGCAGGTTCAGAGCGAGTGACTTCGGCAATCTGGTCATCCAGGGACAACTGGATGGGACTCACAATGATAGCTGGAGGGAGTATGGGTTCTGGTGCAGACAGATCGAATCGAGTGAAGAACAATGCCCTACGTGCTTGGCGGGTATTCAACCTTTTGGCATCACAGAGATATTCTAAGTTGCGATGATCTGTGATTACCCTGAACTGATGTTTGGCTCTCTCCAGCCAGTGTCTCCACTCTTCCAAAGCAACCTTATTATTGTTGTTTGTTTTATGACCCTTTATGTACAGCACTTTGGTCAACTACTGTTGTTTTTAAATGTGCTCTAGAAATAAATTATAGAATAGAAATTTTGATTGTTTGATTGCCAACAGCTAACGATGTCCGATGTCGTCATTTCAACAGTTTCCTGGAGGTGTCACATGGATGGTGGATCACCCTGCTGCTGGGATAGTACAGATCCAACCCTGGACGTAGAGGCATCCTCTTCCACGATGAAGGGTAGTTCTCGATCAGGATGGACCTGGGTTGGAGTAGAGCAAAACTCACATTTTTCCAGCTTGAGATAGAGGTGGTATTCTCTCAGTTTCTGGAGGACCTGCAACACGTGGAGGCGATGTTCGGACAGGTTCCGTGAGTAGATGAGTATGTCGTCGATGTAGATGAGAATGAAGTGATGGAGAAACTCCCGGAACATCTCGTTCATGAGGGCTTGGAATACGGAGGGTGAGTTGGACAACCATATGGCATAACGAGGTACTCATAGTGTCCTGCAAGTGTTATGTAGGCAGTGTTCCACTCATCACCCTCACATATTAGAATGAGGTTGTATGCGCAACGCAGGTCCAGCTTGGTGAAGATGTGAGCTCCCCGCAACAATTCTAGGGAAGATGGTACCAGAAGAAGTGGTTAACGGAATTTGACGGTTTGGGCGTCAAACCACAGTAATCAATACACGGTCTCAAGCCTCCATCCTTCTTGCTCACGAAAAAGAAGCTCAAAACGGCAGGGGAAGTTGATGGACGAATATATTTCTGGTTTGAGTGCTGTTACGGGGCTGACAAGACGTGAGACGTGCGGATCCATATGCAAGCTTTATTCAGCAGAGAGGTCAGAAACACAGGCAGGGTCGAACAAATGGCAAACAGGTATATGGCGGGCAAGACACAAGAATAATCCTAGGGCTAGCGAAGGTCGACGAACGGCGAATTCATGGACTGGATTCGTGACAAGTGCCACCTTGATGCATGGCCTTCTGTTCCAGAATGGACAAGGGACAAAGTTTTAATTTAGGTAGTGCCGCCACAGGCAGCAGGTCAATCGCACAGTCCCATGGCCGATTCAATTTCAATTAAATTCAAATTTATTTGTATATTGCTTTTCACAATACACATTGTTTCAAAGCAGCTTTACAGAAAATTCATGTGTCTACATTACAATTTAGAATGATTTAATTTCAGGCAGAAGCTCATTAAAGCGATTATTATCATGTGTGATCATAATGATTACAATATAAAGAATTTAGCAGTTGTGCATATTGATACAAGTTGGCGTCATCTTGCAGAGGTCAGCATCATCTCTTCAAAGGTGTTGGATCATCTGAAGTCTTTCTATGAGGCTGGATCCAGCTGGCGTAATCTCTAGTTACCTTGAGATGGGCATCCCGGGGTAGGAACAGAAAGGCAAATGGAAAATAATTAGCGTAGCTGCTGTTCATAATGTTTCTGATGAGGCGGTAATTCCGTTGCCAGCTGCTTACTGAACACATTTTATATTTGTTTTTTTTCGGAGTGATAGTTTGTGGAGTTGTTCTCGGGAGATGAAATTCCCAGCTGATCCAGTATCTATGACGGCTTGCGCAGAAACTGAGCATTTGGAGGTAGTTGGTGATATTGTAGTGTGAGTCAAAGATGCAACCAGGGGAGGTAGTTGAATAGTACTCACCACTGGGCATAGTGGGCAGATGGGACAGTTGGCTATCAAATGTGCGTCAGACCCACAATATAGGCACAGATGATTTTGGATGTGACATTGACACTCTGCATGGGAAAGATGGAAATAATCAACTTGCATAGGTTCTGGTGTTGGGAGTGTGACAGATGGAGTGGCAGGAGGAGATTGAGCAGCGGGTTGGTCCAATGTGTATGCAGAGAGATGTTGAGAGATACAAATCGATTTGAGATTGAAGGTCTCCAGACCAGTCACATTGTCGTAGATGGACATATGATGACAAATTTCTGCGTTCAAACCCCTGCGGTAGGCTGTATCACACTGCATGTATCCTTTTTGGTCTGGTCTTCTGTCAGCGGACAGAAGGAGACAACACAGGTACTATGATTCATAAAGGTTTGTTAATGCAGATTGCAGAGTTCAGGAGAGCATTCAGGTGAGAAGTTAGGATTATATTGTAGAACTTCTTGAATAATAGTCTTTGTCAGATGCTGACGAACTGGCAAACAGATGATCAGGACAGACAATGAGGGAATGATCAGGATCGATGACGTTGAGGAGAACTTAGGACGAACCACAGGTAAGGAGTCAGGTAAGTAGAGCGGTATGGAACAATGAGGCTGGACAACAGAGAAGGGAGGTGTGACTGTTATTATGCGTGGAGTTGATGAGCTGATGCAGGTGCGGTTAATTAGAATTCGGGTGATGCTGAACGAGTAGGTGGAGCTGAAGGGTCTGGTGTGGACGATGGTGTAGCATTTGTGACATTCCTCCTCAGCAGCGACTGTAAAGGCCAAAGTATACTTCGGTTTTACACCTTCATCTAATTTTCTGTCTATCTATTTTAAACTATGCTATACTGCTGCTATCTCATAACCCTCTCACACAAGCGCTTGTCAATGCAGCCATGTGTTGTTGTTGTTGCAAGACGGGGCAACTTTTTGAGCAATGTTGCCGAGTGATGTTGCTTGGGTACTTTCCCACTGAGAATGGCCAACAAATTTCTATCTGGATAATTTAGATCGGTTGTGGGCCCTGTGTCTCACCTGGTTGCCAGCTGACAAAACGTTGCCTTTTTATACTTTGGCCTTAAGCCAAAAAAACCCACACTGACACGCTTGTTACAAATTCAAAAGTTACTGCTTTCAGAAGCTTTACAACAGTGAAATCAAATGCTCATTGCCTCTCGCCTGCTTCATCACAGATTGCAACATGCCGTGATTTGGGTGACGTGTTTTGCTGTGTCCAATTCGCATACTATCCATCCTATATAGTATTAGAAATTAGTATCAGTGTGTCCCAAATCATAGTATGTTGAAATGAGTATTCCAAAGGTACCCGGATGGTTTACTACTTCCGGCAGAAATTCAAAGTGCAGATCTGTGCACACTCTAATGGCAAATATTGCCCAGAACCCATTGCATGTTGGATGAGGATTCGATTAGAACTACAAACACGAATAAAAAGTGTAAAAAAAAATACAAACATGGTGGATATGCGAGACCGATGGACAGGTAGAGAAAGGGGTTTGAGTGATAAATAATCCATATCTAACCTGATGAAAAAATATTTAATGTTATCTGCGTTATATTTCATCTGCAACAACATTGTGAACTTTTATAAAGACAAGTTTGACAGGACAGTTCAAAACCAGGGGTCTCCTAACTGTCCTGGATGGCCGGTGTCCTGCAGAGTTTAGCTCCAACCCTAATTAAACACACCTGAACAAACTAGACCTCTGGTTTAAATGGTGACAGGATGCACATAACTAAGCAACAGAGCGGTCCGTTAAAGACGCAGTTATGACGAACTAGTATGTCCCAAAGCTTGTCTGCTTATCTGCTACATACACAAAAGTATGTACTTTTTCTTTGCAAAAAGAATACATACTTTTAGTGCATAGTATATGCAGGCGAGAGGATCATATATCTTTTTATATGGGCTATAAAATGGTTGTTTAGGATTGGGGTAGGGTTAAGAGATTTAGGAAAATGATAAAATGATAAAAGTGCATTTATACAAATATCTTTATGATATAAAAGATTTGTAAATAATTTACGTATTTTAGCTGTGAATAGGTAAAATGTTTACATTTTAAATGTTTCATTAAGTCAAAATTGTACGTTTCAGCATCAATCAAAATGTACAAAAATGTATGTTTTGTACCTGTAAATGCTACATACTAATACCTTTGATGCAAAACCTCACCTTCTCATCTGCTCTGCGACTGTCCAGTGAGACGAATTTGAATTTGTATCCATGGTGGTGATGGTCATTAATGAACCGCTCGGCTGCTAATATTGCAATGTTGTCCTGATCTTCTTGGCACTTATATACCACATCAGTGTCTGTCGGGAGGCTGGCCACGTGTAGAGCCGAGACCAAAGCTGCTAATATTACCAGCTCTCTCATGCTGCACATGGACACGAACCCTAAATCTTCAACTAAGTAAAAGTCCTCCTCTCTTGTCCAGACCTTTATAATATACACTGCAGGGGGAAATAAGCAAACAGTTTAGTGAGATGCTTGCCAATGTTAATGACATCAAAAACAAATATAAAAGAGAGATATGAGGAATGTCATGACACCCTAACTATTAGCAGAATTCACCATGACATTGATGTTTTGTTTGTCTTGCCTCCCTCATCTCTGAGTTCATCCTCCATGTTACAGATAACTTATCAATCATTATTATTAATAATGGTTCTTATTATGAATGTTGAAAAGAGTTTTGGCTACTTAATAGTTTGAAACTGTGATACATTTTTTCAGGATTCTTTGATGGATAGGAATAAAAAAACTGCATTTATAACTTTATAAAGGCTTTTATAACCTTATAAATGCTTTAGTGTCACTTTTGATCAATTTAATGCATCCTTGCTTAATTAAAGTAATAATTTCTTTCTTATGTACCCTACTTTTGAATAGTAGTGTATCACAGTTGCGACAAAACTATTAAACATTTTCAGCATTGATAATAATACATGTTTCTTGAGCAGCAGATCAGCATATTAGGATGATTTCTGAAGATCATGTGACACTGAAGACTGGAGTAATGATGCTGAAAATTCAGCTTTGATCACAGGAATAAATTACATTATGAAATACATTCAAGTAGAAAACAGTTATTTAAAATTTCATAATATTACTGTTTTTACTGTATTTTTGATCAATTAAATGCAGTCTTTGTGAGCATATAAGACTTCTTTCAAAAACATTCAAAAAATCGGAATTATTCCAAACTTTTGAGCGGTAGTGTATATGCCTACAGTTTATAACTCTAATATTTACACCTTTTTTTTTGATAGTCTCTTAGATCATGCAGATGTGTATGTGACTAAAAGATTAGAAGTCAATATTAACTTTATTTTATTTCTATTTTATTCAACATGGACCTATCAGTGGTCTGTAGTCCATGTTAATCTATTTTGCAATCAAGCATTGACTTTGGACTCATGACGCCGGTACTTGAAGCTTGAGTTGCTTTAATGGTAGAAAAAATTCCTTAATACACTATTGTTGTATAGGGCAATTTTTATGTACATATGGAAGGTTCTTCCTCTTGGGGGGTCAAGTTTCTATGTCTAATAAAGTTTCTACACATATCAATGTGCTTAAAGCAAGTCAGTTTACTTTTTGGCCATGTTTGTAATGATCCAGTACAGATCTGATCTACTTCAGTGTGGAAAGGTTGAAATCTACATAACTCTTTGTCATAATTACATTTTAGTCATGAATTTCAAATCAGGAATAAAATCTATAACACCATGCTATAAGACATTGTGCCTGTTAACCCTTGTGCTTTGTTCATTTATGATTTATGGTGTACACTGAGGATGTCCGGGGTCTCAAGAGACCCCAGACATTAAAATGTGATTTTGTAACATTATCATTCATTTTTAAACATGTAAAATCACTCACTTTATTAATATTCTTACTATACATTTGTGCCGTTTTGGGGGAATGTATGGTATTTTAAAAATAATTTGCCTCAATTTCTAATCACTTTTTATACATGAATATATAAAAAAAGCAACATTTTCTCATGAACTGAGAAATCCAATTTCCTTTGATCTTTTGACATAACTGGTCAATTTACTATAAAATATCATGTTAGTTTCAAAACTCAAAACTTTCTTGTTAGTTTAAAACACCTTTTATTGAAACCAAGCTCAGAAAATTAATCGTTTTGGAATGTGCCACTTTATGATGTAATTGTGTGGCTCAGAGCCGTTGAGAAACATTTAGAATATGGTAGTCTCGCAAGAACCGTCTTTGTTTACAGGAGCAAAGGAAGCAAAGTTTCCTTATTTTAGCAAAGGAAAACCAGTCTCCTCTTGGCTTATATTGAAATCCTCCGACATTTTTCTTTACAAATCTTCACTTTGCACTTCTAATTCGTGACCAGTGTTTTGTTTTGCTCTCTCCGCTGCGCTTCTGCATTAGTCACTTCTCACCGGGAGCTTACGCTACGTCCTACATCATCCGACGAAATGAACGCGCGTACGACCGTTAGCGGAAGCTGAAGATTTGGTTTATGAAGTTTTAAATATGATTATGTTTCTTACAAAAACGTATTGATTCGCTACAGGAGGCTATTCATCCCCGGAGCTGTGTGGGACACTTTCTATTATGGATGGATGCGCTTTTTTGGACTAGAGGTGGGCGATATGATCAAAATCTTATTTCACGGTATGAAAAATTTTCTTTTTCACGATAACAACATGTACCTCGATTTTATGTACCTTTTATTTTATTTTTGTTATTAAAATTAAGAAAATTAATTACAAATTACAAGCACAACAGAACAAATAAATATGAAATAAACTTTTAATTTATTCAGCTACAGTAGGCTAGGTTTATTTAACATGTAGTAAGAAATATTACAGAAATTTAATAAAGTGTATAAATAAAACACTGCACTGTCTTCACTGTATCAATCAAACATGATTAATATTAATAATGACAGACAGCAGCAGGTAAATAAGGCTGCTGTCCCTTTAAGACTGACTGCACTGATCCAATATACAGAAACACATCTGGTTTACATTTATTTAACATAAAGTCAAGTCAAGTCAAGTCAAGTCACCTTTATTTATATAGCGCTTTTAACAATACCCATTGTGTCAAAGCAACTTTAAAGTATTAAATAGGAAAATAGTGTGTCAATAATGCAAAATGACAATAGTAAACACTCAATTTTCAGTTAAAGGCAGTTCATCATTGAATTCAGTGATGTCATCATCCAGCTCAGTTCCTTTTAAATAGTATCTGTGCAATCAAATATAACCGACTGTGTTTACTTGAATTCTCCACACGACGGGTATTATGATATAACCGTATTTGACCATTCAAGCACAATAAAACACGAAAGAGATCTGTTTTCGCGATCGCATGCTGTCTGAGAGGGGCTTTCAGTGTGCGCGCTTCGGCAGTATGTCAGTCAGCGCAAGCACAGCATTGAGTTCTTTTTCACTGCTTATCGCACTTAATAACTCCACCAAGCGTGACACACTCTTTATTTTCTCATTCATGCATGTTTCCTTATCACTCAAAAAGTGTATAATGTTTAAGCAGTACTGTGTTACGCAGATATATTTGCAAACCGCGGAATACTCGATATAGCAAAATCTCTAACAATAGAACGTTTATTTCGAGGTAACGATATATACTGCAATACCGAAGCCTGAAATCTTTAGCCAAAAAAGCATAACGGCTAATGCTAACGCTTCCGGTTTGCCAGCATGGGCATCGCTAGGCCATTTCTACTCAGCCCCCCTAAAAAGTTTGCGATTAGCTCCATAAACTGTACACAAATTTGTGATCACCTATCACATATGAAAACGACGGCAGACTTCGGCTCCTACCCGTCTTTCAGCACGTTCTTCAATCCGCAGACCACGGCGACGCAGAGCGAGAAACAGAGGACAAGGTGTGTGTTTATCGATAGATTGTTATAATACCTGCATCTGTGCAGTTCTTTGTCATAAATAACTGGTGTCGCTGTTGGACAGATTTTATTCCTGCTTCCTGTCTGCCGTGCTGCTGGTTTGTGATTGTAGCACCGTGTAGCCTCGCTTTTCTGTAGAATCTCTATCTATACCAGCGGTTGCGAACTCCGGTCCTGGAGAGCCGCAGCCCTGCAGAGTTCAGCTCCAACCCTAATTAAAACTCACCTGCCTGTAGCTTTCTAGTAACCCTTCAGACCTTGATTAGCTTGTTCAGGTGTGTTTGATTAGGGTTGAAGCAAAACTCTGCAGGGCTGCGGCTCTCCAGGACCGATGTTCGCCACCCCTGATCTATACTATCACTCTCTGTTGTTTAAAGTGATAAAATATAACTTAATTCCCACCATATTTCTGATATTATCTTTCAACTTAATCTGATTAATTTGATCGTTCACTTTTATTCTAAAACCGTGAGTGCAGCGCACCTGCAGCGCATTAGCATTCGTTAGCTAGTCATTAGCGTGTCCATTTGCGCCTATTGCTGTTTTCTTTTTTTTTCTCTCTCTCGCTCCGTTTATTTTCTCTCTCGCTCCATTTTTACCCATACTTGGAATTAGTGCTCTGCATTTAACCCATCCAAAGTGCACATACAGCAGTGAACACACACACACCGTGAACACACACCCGGAGCAGTGGGCACCGCAGGTATTTATTCAATACAGTGGCTAAATTTACGAAAAATAAAGCTTCAACAAGTGATGACATTTCCCAACAGCACAGCAGTAATGACTTTATGAACTACTTTACTTCCAAGATCGATACTATTAGAGATCAAATTGTAACCATGCAGCCGTCAGCTACAGTATCGCATCAGATAGTGTGCTATAGATCGCCTGAGGAACAATTCCAATCATTCTCTACTATAGGAGAGGAAGATTTGTATAAACTTGCTAAATCATCTAAACCAACAACATGTATGTTAGACCCTATTCCATCTAAGCTACTAAAATAGGTGCTTCTAGAAGTCATAGATTCTCTTCTGAATATTATTAATTCATCATTGTTATTAGGATATGTCCCAAAAGCCTTCAGACTGGTTGTCATTAAGCCTCTCATTAAAAACCTTATTAATTAACTTATTAATTAATTAATTAATTACAGACATATCTTGAATCTCACTTTTCTGTCAAAGATACTAGAAAAGGTAGTATCCTCACAATTATATTCCTTCTTAGAGAAAAATGGTATCTGTGAGGATTTCCAGTCAGCATTTAGACCGTATCATAGTACAGAGTCTGCTCTAATTAGAGTTACAAATGACCTGCTCTTATTATCTGATCATGGTTGTATCTCTCTATTAGTGCTATTGGATCTCAGCGCATTAATGGTGGCATTAATGGAAGTGCATTAGCATGGTTCAAATCGTACTTGTATGACCGCGATCAATTCATAGCAGTGAATGAAGAGGTATCATATCGATCACAAGTGCAGTATGGAGTACCTCAAGGCTCAGTACTAGGGCAAGTTTCAACCCATCAAAACGCGT